AAGACATGTCAGACTCTACAAAAAGGGAAAGATTATGGTACAAGTTATCTTAGATTAGGAATGTTTTCTCTTATACCAAAGATTGTAATGAGTCGTACTTGAGTAGGATTCATGCTTAGGTTCCGGGTATAAATATTGGACCCCGGCTATTGCAATAAAAAACCATCCAATCAATCAATACCAATTACTTTTTTTCGGCTTTACGCCAACCCTTAGGAGTAGAAGGAAGTAGTGTAGATCTCGACGAGTTCTTCAACAAGCAGGGCTGCATCGGCCCGGGCGACCTCCGGCTTGTCTTTAAGTACCGTCATGGCTTATACTTCTGTTTGTAAGGCTGTATCGGTCCGACCAACCTCTTGCGAGCTCTAGCATAAGCTAGTTATCGACTCTTATCTAGTTCAAGTACAGTTGCATCGGTTAAGTTCGACCTCCGCTACTCGAATTAGATTAAGGTCGAGTTATTGGCTCCACCTAAGTGTGGCGTCCTTCGGGTAGATTCATTAAGTTACTGATCTTGCTGATGTTCTCATTGTCATTAGTTTCAGCAATATCAACCTGCTCGATTGAGATCGATCTAGATCGGCCTCACATCATTTTTAGTCCATCGTTTATTTTGTTACATTACGACGGTTCTTACTTTAAACGATGGCTTATATTTCACCAGCTGTTCTACTTCGATCTTGATCGTGCATAGTACGCGGTTAAGGCATGTCTGATCTTGAGAAGATTTACTAGCTAGTTAAATCTGGTCTATAGCTCGCTATTATGGATGTAACGATCCGGTCGATCCCCACTGTTAGTACTTTAGATCGGAGGATGCTAGTTGATAGATTCGCTTTCGACCATGCATGACCCTGGCTATATGCTATGCCTGCATCGGCTAAATAGCCGATTGCCTGTGCTTTAACGCCTACAATGTGTCTCCATGATTCTGTTAAATGTGAATAAATCTGTTTATTTTAAAGGTTTGATTTGTTGTCTTTATCATGGCTGCTATCAATCCAGTCGAACCCCACTATTAGAGAAAACAGGTTAGGTCTGATGAGTTCATAGATCTGTCCATGTTAAATAATCAATTGTTCACATGCTGTAGCCCCTTTTTTACCTGAATCGGCTATTTCAGCCGATTCGCTTGTGCTTTCACACATATAGTATGTCTTTCAGAAAACCTGTCAATGTATAGACGGTTTTATGAATTCTTCGGTTTTAGTTTGTTACTATCATCATAGCTGCCATCGATTCGATCAAACCTCACTATTGATGGTAACATATTAGATTCAGAGCGTTTGTAGATCTATTTGTACTAGATAGTCGATTTGTTCGCATGTTATATCCTTTCTCGTTAGATTCATCAGCTCAATGCTTTACATCGGTAATATCCACCTAGCTGATGATTTTACTTATATCTGCGTGCATTGTACGTGTCATCATAAAATCAATCGCAACACATGAGCTTTACAATCTGTAATAGCCGATTTCTTCGCATATCGGCTATTTAGTCGATTTTCCCGTCTGACTGCTCCCGAAGCGGCACACTTGGAACTATCTGGGCAAAACCGGCATGTTACACCTTAAATTACTGATAAACTTTCTCTCCTTGTCAATTACAGGTCAAATTGACTAGCACGCCTTCGGGAATTCATAGGATCGGCTAGCCCAGCATTGAAGCCAAGCGGATCTCCAGCTTTGCTCCATCAAGCAGATCCTTCCGGCTTGCTGTGTGCCAGGCACATCGACATGTTTTTGTGCCGACACATATTTTGCTAAAAGAGACTCATTCTTAAGTTTTAGCTTTTCATTTTTAGCTCTTGTCTTTCTTATGATTTAAGTGTATTGGTTTAGCAATTTGACAAGATCATCATAAGAAGGTGATTCAAATTCTTCATCACTATCACTACCATTCTCATCATCACTAGCACTGTCATCACCACTACTATCATCATCACTTTGTACCTTTCGTTCACCCTTGGCCATGAGGCATAGGTGTGTAGAGGATGATACCGAAGATAGTGGTGGAGGTAGTGAAGACCCGATCACAAGAGCGGCCACCTTCTCCTTCTCATTATCACTTTCATCACCAGATGAGCAACTTGATGATTCAATGTTCGTGAGTCAATCACCAACGATGTAAGCCTTGTCATTCTTCTTCTTGTGATATTCCTACTTCTTGCCATCCTTCTTGTATGGCTTGTTTTTCTTCTTCTCGTCATCATCATCACTTGAGTCGTCTTTCTTGCCCTTGTACTTCTTGTACTTGTCTTTCTTGGGCTTGGGGCATTGATGAGCTAGATGACCATGCTATCCGCAATTGTAGCAATCCATTTCGGAGATGGGCTTCCTCTTGCCACTAGTGAAGAATTTCTTCTTCTTTCCATCAAACTTGACACCATTCTTGTTGAGCTTTTTGAGCATCTTGGCGGTTCTTCTCACCTTGAGAGCAAGGCTTGCATCATTGATCTCATCATCACTTGAGCTATCACGATCAACTTTAGCTTTGCCCCTCTTCTCTTGACTAGCCTTGGATGCCAAATCTTTCTTCTTGGTGGAAGAAGAGCCATCTCTGTGGAGTGATGTGCATATACATCTCATGTGCATTTATCTTCCCCAATATTTGAGTTAGCGTAGCGGTGTAAAGATCACCTTGATGAAGCACCATCACAATATGCCCATACTTGTCAATGGGGAGGACACTCAAGATCTTTCTCACAACATCGAATGGTTGCATTTGAGTGAGTTCAAGCCCATTAACCTCCTCTACAAGAACATTCAAGCGAGAATACATTTCATTAGCACTTTCACTAGGAAGCATTTCAAATAAATTAAGCTTCTTCATCACAAGGTGATAGCATTCCTCACGCTCACTCTTGGTTCCCTCATGGAGCGCACAAATGTCCGACCATAGTGAATGGGCGTCTTTGTGGTTCCACACACGGTTAAAGACGTCCTTGCAAAGGCCTCTAAAAAGGGTGTTTATAGCCTTTGCATTCCACTTCTCGTAGTAAACCTCATCACCTTAAAGATTGGTGGGATCCTTAGGTTTTGGGAAGCCTTGTGAGGCTGCTCTAAGCACTCCAACATCTAAAGCCTTTAGGTATGCCTCCATACGAATTTTCTAATAAGGAAATCATCTTCCTCACAGATGGGAGGGGGTCCATCCCCGTGGGACATTTTGCTCTAGGCGGTTAAACTTAATTCAAGGAGCACGAGGCTCTGATGCCAAATGAAAGGATCAAGATGCCCAAGAGGAGGGCTGAATTAGGCTAATTCTAAATTTCTTGCAATAATTAAGCCCTACACTTAGCCCATTTCACCCCCCTTGTGCCTAAAAGTGTTTCTATTGTTCTACCGCACAAAAGTTTTGCACCCTAGGTTCCAATCCTACTCTAGCATGGCAATTCTAAGAATGTAAAGACATGAATTGAATTGCTCAAATATAAATGCTCAAAGTAAATAGAGGGAGAGGAACGCGGTGATATTTTTCTGAGGTATCAAAGAGTCGCCACTCCCCACTAGTTCTCATTGGAGCACCCGCGCAAGGGTGTAGCTCTCCCTTGATCCACGCAAGGATCAAGTGCTCTCTATGAGCTGATTCTTTGACATTCCTTCGCGGTGAATCGCTCACAACCGCTCACATTATGACTTGAGTCATCCACAAGCTCCGCCGGATGATCACCAAGCTTCCAATCACCACCGAGCCGTCTAGGTGATGGCGATCACCAAGAGTAACAAGCACGAACACTCACTTGACCCAACCAAGCCTAATGAGAAGAGTGAATGCACACTTGCTACTCTCTATGCACTAATGATGTCCTTAATCTTCAATTAGCGAAGCTCAATCACCCCACTAGACTCTTACTCTCCCTTACACTCCAAAGTGTTTCCTCAGCTGAACAAATGGACAAGAGGACCTAAATGCACGAGATGGAGGGGTATAAATAGCCCCAAGGGGTGGAACTAGTCGTTACCCTCCAACTCAACATTTTCAGGGGCACCGGATAGCAAGGTGGCACACCGCCACCCCCTGTCCGGTGCCACCCAATGGCTAGTTTTTGAACTAGCCGTTACTGGCCTGGCACCGCCACCCCAGGGGCGGTGACCAAGCCCCAAAACACCCCTCTAGAATAAAACGGCGGTGGCACCGCCACCCTAGGGGCGATGCCCTGTCCTATGCCACCAAGGCCTGGCGGTGCTCTCTAGAGAAAAGTGGCAGTGGCACCACCACTCCAAGGGCGGTGACCGGTCCGATGACCATCCCGAGACCCCCGTCTCTGGATAAAAGGGGCGGTGACAACGCCACCCCCATGACGGTGACCAGGGCGGTGCACACCGCCCTGTCCACTGCCACCAGCAATGGTGCGCTCCGTTTCAAGTCCCAATTCAAAACGATTTCCGACTTCCGATGATCTTAGGCTTCATCTAAGCTACCTAGCGCTAGATTTAACAAATGTGCACCACATTCTTCTCACTAGACACGCCTAGGTCAAGCTACCCATCCATGCACCCCTTTATAGTACGACCAAAGAAAAAACAAAGTCCTACACCTAATCTAAGTGTCTCTCAACGCCAAACGACACTTAGAACTAGTCCGTCCTTAACCTTGTTATCCATACTTTAAAAACCAAAACGAATTCCATCGTCAGGGGCATAAATACCATAAGTGCCCAATCAATCACCATTATCATGACCTAACTTATAATCCTCTGCAAAACACACGTTAATTACGGCAATCTTGTATAGTCATTAATCACCGAAACCTGCTTTCAAGCCTCCCTTCGGATCAGAGGGTATAGTGTCTGAGTCTCACAACAGAAACAAATGAATCCGATACTGCCCAGATTGGCCAATTGCTCAGGTTTAGTTACATTTCAGCCATGTTTTCGACCTAGTCGTGGCATGTCTAAGTCTAAGCACCTCCTCTTGCACAATGAATGGAAACCTTCTCTTGTGCCCTCAAAATAGAATATCCAAACGCATAACACATTGCTCCATCGCTAGGGTTACTAAGGTTGTACAGCTTCTAGGAGCTTCTCATACACTTGGCGTGCCAACAAATCCTCAACCTTGCAGCAAAGTCCGAGTATATTTTTAGAAGAGAAAAATTATTAAATACATTGAAATTTTTGCTGGAAAAGAAAATTAATATAGGATTCAGTTCAGTGCATCAGAATTCGATACTAAATAGCAGGAAGAAGTGAGAACTCACAATCAGAAGCTTCGATTTGTTATTCCATCCTCTTTGAAGGGTCATCTGAGTCAATCTTAGGCCAAGAACCTGATTTCACAAGCCATCAGTATGGACATGTTCACATAACAAGGTTGAAAACTGAAACTGCTTATTGTCGAAGGCTAAAACCTCCCCAGTTATAAATAAGTTCCCTATTAGACAATGGCGGTCTCAGAATTTAGACTATCAACTAAATTGATATATATTTATTTAGAACCAAAGGACTTCTTTGTATAATTTGCGCATAGATTCACAAAGACATTTTCATCAAAGCTATACTTATAGCATGCATATTGTGATGGCACGCTGGAGCATTCAGAATACTTTTTACAAGGCTCAAACTGCACAATACCAAACCACAATAAAATTAGAGTGCCATTGAAGAAAATCACCTTGCCCATAAATTCTAGCAACTCACTGTTAGCTTCCCCTCGAGCAGCAGGGGCAGCTACTGTTACTCGAACGTCATCAGCGTTCACTCCTGAAAGTACACAAAATTCTGTCAACACATTGTATGCGCCAGTGAACTGAAAGAAATAGTGTAAACTGGTGTCCAATCTACTATGTTTCACATGACACAGTCAGTGCATCCATGCACAATGTATCATCATAAACATTGCATGTTGTAGTTTCAAAAAATAGTTTACTACATTGTTAAAAATGCATACTTGTTATTGCTGAACGTTGTGCCCGGTCTTCCACTTCAATGGCTACTTGGACAAGTCCACCTTCCAGTTGTGTGATGCAAGGAGGTACAGGAGCATCCTACAGTTTTCACAATCATTAGGCCTAGAAAGTACAAATAGGCTGAATTTAGCAAAGGACTTTCTGTTGATGCGGTATATACATGTGGATTTGTCTCAGCTGCAACTGAACTCAGTGCTCCATCAACAACATATATGAAAGGGGCAACCTCCAGATCCTCTTCTGATCGGTAACAGACAAAAAGGTCACATCCCACACAGCTCATGCGGAACTGCTTTTCAAGCTTTCCTTCACCACTGCATCAAATATACAATTACATGATCCCACAATCTGAAGTATAACCTGGTAATCAGTATTCAGTTATCACTTTGGCATAACCCTGAAGGGCTTGTTTGGCTGCACTACAATCCATCCCAATCCATATGTAATGAGGTGTATTAGGATAGACAATTAACTAGATTTTTATCCCAATACATGTGAATTAGAGTGTAGCCAAACAAAGCCTGAGGTGGGTTATTTCAAAGGAGTATGCATATGATTGCAGATCATGTTATATAAACACAATTCAATAATTCCCATAGTGTATAATAATCCTGCTATACTATTGAAAAATCTGTAAACACACTGAATTGATGAGGCCACAAAGAGATTTGTTTCCCCTAGAAGAAAACAGTGCACACACGTAGCCAAAACAGCACCCAATTTCTTAGTTACATACTATCTGGCAAACTTAAGATATTCACCAGTGTTTAGAGTTTACAGAAGAACGTACAAACACAAGACATTAGATTTGATTATAAGAACATAATTACAATATAAGTAGAGGTGCAGTACTCCAGTAAGATTTATGAGGGATGATTATTATACCGTTTCAACATTACTTTTCCTGACTCCTTCACATTTAGCCTTGAAAGATGCTTAGCCTTGTCTAAAACATGTGCTCTGTCAGTCTTTCGCTTGGGCATTTTCTGCAATTGGGTATCTTCGGAACAAACATATCAGAATTGAATATACACAAATTTTCATACTTGAATCGTTTAAACTGCTTCCCCTACAAAAGCAGTAGCAATTCCTCGTGACGAGAAATTAAGATAAATCTTCTGCTGATGATGATGCATAAACTTTAAAAACATATTGCGTCAACTTGGAAAATGAGGTTTTACTAAATTTCGTCAACTTTTACCTTTTAGTCTATTTGATTTGATGAAAGTATTATTCAGACTGCTGTAGATTAGATTTGCATGATTTGTCCTGCTGTAAATTAGATTTGCATGATTTGTTTCTCTCGCTCACTGGCACAATTACATTTGTACAATACGTACACTAGATGCGGACTAACGTAGCCTAGTGCTACAGAACCTCCAAAGCTAGAAGACAAACGAAGAAAATTTGAAGTATGCAAAGAGATGTTGTCCTGGGGTCTGGAACTGGTAGCCAAATTTTTCCTAGATAAAAACTAATCCCCCCCTTGAACAGTTCAAAGCTGATTCTTCCGCTTGAATTTAAGAACCCAACCTCCCTTAATTCCTAGCAGACTACCAGATCTGGGGAAAATTAAGGCGAGTGGGGAGGAGGAGCTGACCGGTGATGAGGACGTGTGAGGCGCAGTGCTTGCAGTAGTAGACGAAGAGGTCGGACTCGGGGCCCTCCGGCAGTGCGTCCTCGCTCGAGTACGTGTGCGTCGTCCGCTTCGGCATCGCCCTCCCTCTCCGCCGCCGCCGGGATCAACAGGCGAGGCTTTCAAGGTCAGGCCTTAGGGGGCAGGGGGGTATTCAGGCGGAGCCAATCGAGCGGCGGCGACGCCAACGGCTGGAGGAGGGAGGAGGGATCTGAGCCGTCGCCTCGGAGAAAGAACGGAGCGCGAGTCGGCGCCGCGGGGAAGAGAAGAGGAGGAAAGCAGCGGCGGCAGGAGGCGTGCGCTTCAATCGGTTCAGCCGTTCAGGCGTACAATTTCCGGTTTTCGGTGCTGACCATGTTTGACCTTGACCTGAATCCGAATGAACGGTGGGTGCCTATCGTTCCCAAATTCTGCCTCCACCGCAAAATAAATTCTTTATCTCACGTAAAGGAAAAAAATTGCAAAAATAACACTCGAAAGATTGACTCATTGATTACGATGACACTCGAGTGGATGACAAGTGGATCTATCTGTGCCTATAAATGTGGGTTCAGTGTCAAATCTGTAAACGACCGATGTTTCGAGTCCTATTTTTGCAAATCGCCCATTTCTTGGAGTCAAACAATTTTGACTCTTATTATACTAATTATATATATAAAAAAATATTAATATTCATAATAACATATAGGCATTATTAGATTAATCATGTTATATGTTTTCAAATAAACCTAAGATACAAATGTTGATACCATTTTTTTATAAATCTAGTCAAAATTGAGATTGATTAACTCATAAAAAAGTGAGATGGAGACTTATTTGGAATTTCAGATACTAAGTTGTTCTGGTTCATTTTACACTATGGGGTAAGTCGAAGACACCTGGGTACAACCTCATGTTAGTCGAACAACTGTCTGAAAGCTCTATGTTTGGTTTTGGTAATTGAGATAACTAGTGAACTAATCTTTTGCTAAGTGTGTGATTAAGGTAGGTTAAGTGCACACCAAGGTGGAGAGCAAGATTTGGAAGTGGATGATGGGTGATCAAGCTCTCACTTGGAATGCTCGTGGCTAGTTGGAGTAGATCATTTGATTGATTCATGCGGCGCCTAAGTCGTGGGCCTATCTTGTCACGTTAGTCAGTGTGCGAATCATCACTTAGGGACTCACCATAACGTGGATGTAGGTTGTCGGAAAGCATTTGAACCACGAGGATAAATCTTGTGTTCATTTGTTGCCCTTGATGGTTTGCACACTACTCTCACTTGCATTTACTTTCATATATGTTGCTTGTATGGTAGTTGCTTGGTAGTTAGCTCTCGAGTTAGTGTTAGTGTTAGTAGTAGAGTAGCTTGTTTTAGTTGCTCACTGGTTTAACCAGGTAGAGTTACTTAGGGCATGTTTGGCATGGCTCCAACTCCAGATAAAGCAGCTCCACTTCAGAAATTCAGGTGGAGCTGGCTCTGAGTGGAGTTAGAGCTGTGTTTTTAGTGTGTTTGGCTAGAAAGAGAGTCTCAGCTCCATAACCATGTTCAATCGTGTAGAATGCCCAATTTGCCCTCTGAGTAGGACCCACATGTCATCCTCTCTTGTTGGTTGCTACAGAGGAACTCACCATTGTCTACGGGGAAGAGGGCGCGCCGCGGCAGAGAGCTCCGTCCACCGGAGTAGGAGAGGGAGCCACGACAGAGAGCTCCGTCCGCCGGAGCAGGAGAGGGAGCCGCGGCAGAGAGCTCCGTCTGCCAGAGCGGGAGAGGGAGCCAGCAAGCCAGCCCCCCGCGAGGTGGGCTCAATGAGGGGAGGTCCCAGTAGCCACAAAGCGGGGTGAGGGGGCGGAGGCAGCGGACGGGGTCGCCTAGTCGCGAGGAAGCCACGCGTATGCATCTTTGACGGCGGGGGGCTTCACGTCGCCTCTTCTCCTTCTTGGCCAGAGATGGAGGCGTCCTTCTTCCCTTCTCCTCTAGGGTTAGGGTTGGGGATGGAGGAGACCTTCTTCTCTTCTCCACTAGGGAAAAGGTGGGGGATGGAGTAGAGGGGGAAGAGAGGCGGGGGAGGGGAGGGAAGGGGTGCCGGCCGGCGATGGCGTCACTGGCAGTGGCCGTGGAGGCGAGATCGCCCAGCGTCAAATCGCGCCGCCCAGCAGGATTCAGGATTCAGAGAGAGAGAGGAGGGGGAGCCTGGCCGCACTTGCGGTGTGGGAGGCAAAGCGAATAGAAAGAAAAACGGTTCGAGTTGTGTAATCAGTGGCAATTGCAGGTAATTTCACCCCAACTCCACGTCTAGATCTATTTTGGCCAGTTCTAGAGTAGGAGAAGAGGTGCTCCGAAACTCCACCTCCATTTGCACTACAGCTCTATGGAGTTGGCAGCTCCATGGAGTTTTGGAGCTGGGGTATTTGACTGGAAAATTGGTTGGAGTTGCTGGAGTTCAGCTCCAGAGCCATACCAAACAGGGCCTTAGTGTAGCTAGTAGCCTTTTGTGGATGTGAATTTCTAGTAGATCATATAAATGAGTGGTGTTATGAAGTTTATATTCCGTACCTCAAGTTTATATGAAGCTTATATTTCACTCCCCTCAAGTGTTGTTACAGCCCTGTTATTAAGTTTATATTTTTTCCCTCCCAGAACTGAGCTGTTGGGGATGCTTCGAACAATACTGATGGATAGAATTACACAAGGAAAACATTCCCGAATTTCTTCAATCAACCACAGCAATTGCCATTTTCTGGGGTGGAGGTAGGCATGTTGTTGTTGGAGTGGCTGGCACAGACGGCCCGTTGCGAAGTCCATGTACCCACTTCGATTCTCAGCTGGCGAGCCCGGCAAAGGCAAGCCTGACCGTGGTGGCCCAGTCCACCACATTGATCTGTTTTGAAGCAACAAGCATCCCAGTTGAGGGCAAGCCTAGCGCAGACCCTCTCGTCGATTCGTCTCCTCAAGTTAATTCTGATTTACCCATTGGTGGATCTGTAGTTCGAACGCTGCTGCCCTAGAGGCTACAGTACAACACATCAAGAAGTATAATGTTGTAAAATATTTATTTGGTCATAATATGTACTCCTACCATCTCAAAAATATATATACATATGTACTCCTACGTATCATGCATGTATCACTAATTTATTATTCCGTAGCCTGAGATCAGCTATGGACTGTGTCCTTTGTTCGTTTTAGCTAACCTAGTTCGACCGTCTAATATCACCCACTCCCCCCCCCCTCTCATTGCAAAGGCCCCGTTCGACTTACCTTATATTCCACACTATTCAGCTTGTTTTTTTAGCCGGAACAATATTTTTCTCTCACAATAATTCAGCCAGAACAGTGTTTTTCAGCCAATTCAGCCAAGTTTCAGCAAGCTAAACAGGGCCAAAGTGTTAATAAGATCGGAAGGGCGAACGGTCGGACGTCCGGACGAATGGCGCGTCCGGACGCAGATCCCGAATGTTATCCCGCACCGCATCCCACGACTCAAGTCCACATCTCATTTAGCGTCAGTGGCCCCATGTCCGGATGCCGCACCCATGCCCATCATGTGCTTCACCTACCCCTGCTTGCGAATGCGTGCTGCGGCGGCGTCTACCGGCCTCAGGCGTCCGCACGGTGACCCACGGCACGCCCCCAGCAGGTTGCTACTACTGATGAAACATGTGCTCTCTTAGATCTAATTTTAAAACATCAAGATAAAACATTTGCAACATAGCCAGAAACACAGATGAAACACTTGAAACATGCGCGTATAGTCATAGAAACATATGCAACATCGAGATCTATTTTTGCAACATCCAGATGAAACACCTGCAACATGAGTCTAAAATATGTGAAAACACTTGAAATATACGTCTGAAACACTTGAAACCACTAGCAGGAATATCCACTTCTACACGATAAGTTTTCGTCACTGAATGAGCCAAATTCGTCATAATTTCAGTTTTATAACGAATTTATGACAAAAACCGATTCATCATAGAAGCCGCGTCACACTTGAAATTCTATGACGATTTTTCACAAAACGCCATAGAAGTGGTTTGATCTGTGACGAAAATAGAACGTCATAGGACTGTTTAGCATGCGTGGCGGGGGCTGCCACACTGGTAGGTGCTTTCGTTGGAGATGCTTTCCACGTGTACATGCTATAGCCGGTTGCATTGGAGATGATTCAGGTACGTATCACCTTCTTATTGCACAACATGGCCATCTCTGGTTCTTGCACGTTTCAGATTCATACTGGACCACGTGTCGTGTTCCTGTTGTTCCACATGTTAGTTTTCTATGGGCACACGTGTCGTGTTGCTGTTGGATCATGTGTCACTTCTTCATTGGATCATGTGGCGTATTTTTATTGCTCCACGTGTCCATTTCTTATTCGACCACGCGTCACGGCACTGTTTGTCCACGTTTCGCATTTTTATTCGACCATGTGGCTTAACGACATCCTTCCACATGTCGGATTTTTAATAGCCCACGTGTCGTGCTCTGGCTATTTCACGTGTCATGCACCGGTTCCTCCACGTGTCGCATTTTTATTTGATCACGTGGCCTGTTCTGGTTCTACCACGTGGAGTATAATCAATTCATCATAGAAGTAATTCGAGATCGTCACTACTGCACAGATTGACTACATAACAATTCAGACTGGCAATCAAATAACCACAATTAACATTTCACACGTCAGCAGCGAACCACTAATAGAGTATCACAACATCAAACCATCACATGTGTCCACACAACAGACCACAAATGTTCACCGCATCAAGCCACTAGAGTTGAAGATAGAGAGTTACTTACCAGGAGAGCTTAAGCCCAAGACTAGCTCACTGAGCCTATTGTACTCCTCCTGTTGCTGTTGCTTGAATTCCTCAAGCTCCCTTTCTGCCTTTTCTATCCACACCTTCAGTTCATCCACTAGTTCGACGAGCTCAGATGTACTTTCCTGTTCACCAGCAAGCTGCTCCTGAAGTATCATCTCCGCCGATGTCTCTGCTCTAGTGGAGCTTCTCTGGATACCAGTATTCTTCAAAAAAGGTTTTTGCTGCTTGCCTAGGAGGGGCGCTTTCCCTGGTAGAGGTAGAGAACCTTGGAAACAA